TATTCAGGAGGGTGAGATCTGAGGCTCCCAGTTTGGTCAAGAAAATCTTTGAGACTCTTATCTCCAGTAAACTAGTCAGAAAAAGCCTGTAGCGGCACTGTGGCTCAAGTGGTATAGCACTACCCTTGGGCAAAAGTTTAGAGACAGGACCCAGGCCCAGAGTTCAAGCCTCAGGACTGGCAAATTTAAAAAAAAAAAAAGCTACAAATGGAGCTATGGTCCATGAGACTTATCTCTAATAAACTACTCAAAAAAATCTGGAACTGGTCTGTGATGGAGATGGTGCTGTGGCTCAAGTGGTAGAGCGCTAGCCTTAAGCAAAAGAAACTCAGGGACAGTGCTTAGGCCCAGGATTCAAGCCCCAGGATTCCCTACCTCCCACCTCATATACACAAACCAATTTCAACAAGTTTCATTGCTGTATTTCCATATAAGCATACAAGGTGTTTAGACCACATTCACTCTCATTCATCCTGTCCTCTCCACTCACCTTCTTCATTCCCACTTATTACGACCCCAACCTGCCAACATAGCCTGTTTTATTTTCTTGCCATTCATTTGTTAGTGCATATTAATGTACTGAGGGGTTTAACTATGGTATTTGGTACATATGTATATTCTACTTGAATTGGAATAACTCCTTCACATATCTACCTACTATTTTTTTTAACATCTTTCAGTGTGTTTTTTTTTATGTTGTCTTCATACATAACTGCAATGTATTCTGGTATTATCCTCCCTCATTCTTTTTCCTTCTAGGTTTGTGTGTGGGGGGGGGGGGGGAGGGGGGGTTGTACCAGTTCTGGGCTTGAACTCAGGGGCCTGGGCACTATCTTTGAACTACTTTTGCTCAAGACTAGCATTCTACCACTGGAGCCACAGTACCATTTCTGGCTTTTTCTGTGATTAATTGGAGATAAGAGTTTCACAGACTTTCCTGCCCGGGCTGACTTTGAACTGTGATCCTCAGATTTCAGCCTCCTGAGTAGCTAGGATTACAGGCATGAGCCACTGGTGCCTGGCTTTCCTGTGTTCTATATCTATATCTAGTTAGTGTAATTTCTTTTCATTCACATGCCTACGCCAGAAAAAAAATAGTCCTCTCCTTTACTCCATACATGTAAGCAAACTACAAATTTTATTTTTTAAACAGTTTCTTAAATCACCCCTCTTCTTTCAATGACAATAGAAGAAGACTCCTTTTGAAATTGCTCCAATATCCTTCTTACTGGTCTCCTAGCCTGACCTCACTCTCTCTATTCATGAAACTGACAGAGTAATTTTTTTCTAAAAACCAAATCTGTTACCACCTCCTAGTCAACATTCTTCAACAGAGAAATGTACTTATATGGTATACCGACCCCTTTATGGTCCGTTCATTCTTTTTTATTCTGCTCACTCACCATATATTTAATGAATATCTGTTGTTTCAAGTAGATACAACAGGAAACATAGACAATTATTTCACCTCTTGTCACCGCTTTATTTCAACACTTCCTCCCACCACTAGCAAGCTTTATCTTTAAAAACTAGTAAACTATTTGAAACAGAGTATCCTTTTCTTTCATAATAATTTCTACTCATTTAAAAAAAAAATCTCAATTTAAACTCAAACTCCTCTTAAGACCTCCTTGCATCCTTCACAAATACTTTGTTTATATAGCTATCCTTCCCCTAACCTATTTCTTGAGAACAAGGAAAATGTCTTTTGACAAAGTAGTCAAGTGTAAACTCTTCATTAAATGAAACAAGTAAACAAAATGACAGCTTTCTTTATTATTGTTCTTCTCAACATTAGACAATGTGCAATTATAGACAAAGTAAAAAGTAGGAGTATTCACAAGCAAATATTGCACAAGGTGATTTTTCAGAGCCTTATATGTGAGCCTTGGAGTATTTTGTCATCTCTCTAAAATTTGTGTTGGCATTGGTTTACTTCATGAATAAAATTTTACCTTCTGTCCTGGGGCATTTTCCCATAATTGAAAATGCAAAGTAGTAAATACTTCAAAATACACTCTATAACAGCAAACACATATTTTTATAGAAAAAGATACTCAATCTTTATAGAACTTGTTATCATAAAATAGAATAAAATGATGTGTCTTGTATATTACCGTGGATATTTTCAAAGATCTAAACCCCATATAAAGTATTTATATATAAAATCAAATCTGAGAATATTTTAAGAACTATATGAAGACATTCAGGGCTTTCACTAGCATACTGCTTTTTGAGACAAGATACAATCCATTCATACTTATTGAGCATATGTGTAATTGTGAGTCAGGAAAACATTAGAAATGTGTTCCAAAAGCAAACATGAAAAGTTCAGATGTTGTAAACCAACTCTTTCCAATTAAACAGGTTGGAACACCAATAGAGATGTGAGGGGGTGGCCATCTGTCAGCATATAAAGGTCTTTGTGTTTGCATACAAAGACATTGCTCAACCCACATCTGGCTCACCCACTGAAATATATGAGCATAAAGAATAAAGGGATGAATTTTTAAAAAGCTAGTTGTTTGTTTCATATGTGTGAGAGAATAAGGATAGAATTAGTCTACTTTCCTACTTTCACTTATTTTTAAAAAGAAAACAGGAAAGTCAAGACAAGAAAACTTTAGTAGGACTAGGAGATAGAATTTCTATCTCATTGCATAATTTTAGGATCTGTACTAGAATTCTTCGGGTTTTTGTTTTTGTTTTTTTCTCCTGGCTAGTTCTTCTCAGCTATTTCCTTGAATCGTAACTTACAAGGCACACATCATTTCCTTCCCTTTGGGGAAGCTTTCCCTTATTATTTCAGTTTATCTCTGTTCTTTTCCTACTTCTAACTACACTAGTTATGCATTATCTATATATTTAAAAACTATTTTTGTTGTGTTTTTCTAGTTTGTATATATAATCTTATATAAATTATGTTTTGTGACAAGAGCAAAAGCAAAATTGTTTTTACTCAAGCAGAAAGCCATATAAACCTATCACAAATGGATATCTATTTATCAAAGGGCTAATAGCCTCATATTCTAAAACATCTACTAAACTAAAACTGGGACCAGCCCCTACCAAGCAGAGTTATTTACACAGTATGAACTACATCACTGCCAGGGTAAAGGTTTGATTACCAAAAGCTAACTAAACAAAATTCCTAGAGAGAGGTGGTCTGAACAGCAAGATAATCAAGAATCAGATACTAAAATAACAGGTAGTTAGTCAACATCAGAGTTTCTTATAATAGCCTATTTATTCAATATTTGAAATTTTGAGAATGGCTGTATCAGTATAGTAGATAGGAGTATACATTCTAGATCTAAACTGAAAATGTTTCAGTCTCAACTCTTTTACTTACTGGTTACCGCCTAGTAAAGTAGACAAATTATCCACCTTGCATTATTTACCTGTAAAATAAGAATACAATAGTAGTGCCTATCCCTTATGGCTGCTATGAGGATTAAGTGAATAACTACAAAGGGCTTAGGATATTGCCTAGCATGTATTCTATTAATTTTAAATGTTTATTATAAAAATTAATATAGACATATTCAAAGACGATTTTAGTTATTATTCTAAAATATATAGTGCTGAATTTTAAATTATATAGGTTTTTATGAAAATGGAAGAAAATAAGCAATTTTTATAATAAACAATTTATTCTGTAGCCTACCAATACAAAACAAATACCACAATTCCTATTCATACTCAAGTAGGTGACTTAAGTATGAGACACTTCTTTGTGAACTACTGCTTCTATTCTTCACTTTAAAAAGATTTGACTTCCAGGAACTTGGTTTTTGGTTTTTTGTTTTTTTGGGAGGTCCGGTCGTGGGGCCTGAACTCTGGGCCTGGGCGCTGTCCCTCAGCTCTTCAGCTCAAGGCTAGCCTCTAACACTTGAGCCATAGCACCACTTCTGGCTTTTTTTTTCTACTTATGTGGTGCTGAGGAATCGAACCCAGGGCCTCATGCATGCAAGGCAAGCACTCTACCATTGAGCCAACTTCTCAGCCCCAAATTACTATTTTAAAATATGAAGCTTCATAAATGTTGATTTATTGTTGTATTTGAAATTAGACTTTCCAGTCAAGTTCATTTCTGTACTTTAAGAAGTATAAAATACAATATTATACAGTAATATGATATGATTTATAAAGCACCTAAAACAGATATTGAATATAAAACATTTTTTCTGCCAAGGAACTAAAAGTTATTTTAAAAAGCTTCTGCATTTAAGTCAACAATATTCTCTTAAAATTAAAGCAAACAGGAATTGATTGAATGATATACACTAGTCATTTTATATACACTGAGAAGAAACCAAGTCAGTGAAAATAAATGACTAGCCTAAGGCACATAGCAACACATAAAGCAAGCAGTCTTGGATCCATATCCAGGTAACACCGGTTCTAAAGCTTATGTTCTTTCCATAACATTATCTCTTCAGCTTTGTGACATGGCCCCCCCAAAAAGCTAAGAGCCTCATATAAGGCCAAAGACTCATAACTCTCGGGTAGTAGAAAGAAAACTTTAGATTATATGACATAGTTATACTAGATTAAGTCACCTCCAAATAACACACTATTTAAAAGGTAATTTATTATGGTTTTGGCATAGAAAATATACTGGTAAACAGAGTAAATTCAGTCCATTTGCCACTAGTTTAAAAAGTTAATATAAAAAGACATTTCCATTGCAAATGCCTAAAAGTGAGCCTTTCCAGAAAGTAGATTCCTTCCTCAATCATTTTTTCCCATGAAATTTTGAAAACCATCACAAAGAAAAATCAGTGGCCCGCTCTTTAAGAACTAAGTAAATTATCAGAATTTTTAACCCCAATATTAAATATATAAAGTGAGGGAATAAAAATATACAAAACATTTTGCAGATGTTTTGACTCTCCCTATAGTTAAGCCAGTCTAGGCTTTTAAGACCAGTAGCCTATTTATTTATTTCTCTCTTTACTAAAGGACAATGAACTTCACCTCCACCTTTTGCTGCTTACCTGTTGCAAAGGATGCTGAGGGCTCCATGGGGACTACAGTGACATGGCAGGCAGAGGCCAGAAGTGTGATTCAGGTAAAAGCCCTTCTCACAGGCTTCACAGTGAAGACCCTCATAACCTGATTTACACTCACACTGCCCTGTGGTCTGATTGCAGCGTTTCACATCGAGGCTTCCAACCCTTGAGCAGTTACACATATACTCTGAAAAGGAAGAAGGGAAAGAGATATTCTTAACCAAATGAAATGACTTTTTAAGAAACTGAACACTGTTTATTTTCCTTAATAAATATTTGTGACAAACTTGTAGGGCTAGATGAAACTGGCTCCAGTTCCAAGTTATTTTCTCTACTGTTTAGTTTATTTAAATTGGAAAATGTACATGATGCAATATACTTTTTTTTATCTTTTTTTTCCTTTTTTCTGTCGATTGTGGGGCTTGAAGTCTGGGCCTGGGCGCTGTCCCTCAGCTCTTCAGATCAAGGTGAGCGCTCTACCACTTAAGTCATAGCGTCACTTCTGGCTTTTTCTGCTTATGTGGTGCTGAGAAATCGAACCCAGGGCCTCATGCAAGCGAGGCAAGCACTCTACCACTGAGCCACCTTCCCAGCCCCACAATATATTAAATTATATACAGTCTGGGTTTTTTTTTTTGTTTGAATGTTTGTTTTTGTTGGTCATGGGGCTTGAACTCAGGGAGCTGTCCCTGAGTTTTTCTAATCAATACTAGCACTCTACCATTTTGAGTCACAGCTCTACTTCCAGCTAATACTTCTGGTGGTTAACTGGAGATAAAAGTCTCCTAGACTTTCCTGTTCTGTCTGGCTTTGAACCACGATCCTCAGATCTCAGCGTCCTGAGTAGCAAGAGTACATGTGTGAGCGACCAGTATGCACCTAGCTACAGTTTTTAATTATATAGCTACCCCACTCAGTTTCCTTTCCACTTTCATTGCCACCCTTCTTACCCTACAAATCCAGTATATATGTAAGTGTATGTAGTTATATTTATTAGTTTTTTTCTGAATTGGAAACCTCCACAGGCAGGATTACCTACCTAGAACTGAGAAAACATGCTAAAAATAACAACATGTTAAATAATAAATAACCCATTATATAATAGCAAAGGCCTAAGGCTCAGATGTCAACCTATACATGATCATGCAGGATTGTTCCACAGCTAGAATCTTAAACTAAATGTCCCATCCAGGAAGGAATTAATAAAGAAATATTACAAAATTTAAATGTTAGGAAATGGTAAACAAATCCAGAGAAGTTTATTCGTTCATCCTGATCAGACTAAAAACCAACCACAATTTGAGTATCTTGCTTATATCTGTAAAATATATAGAAAATAAATATTTTTTCTTTAGATATATTTCAAACAGCTCTTTGGATGAAAATAACTTAGAAGCCTAATTTAGTTTTTGCTAGTATTTCTACTCAACAAAAGGAAAGGATTTTGAACACAGTTTAACAGAGCATACAGAAAGAGATGTAGTTAACATTGACTGCAGAAAAATAAAACCTTCTATATTCTATGAACAGGCTTCATTCCAAAATAGCAATGAATTTAGGTAGAAGAGCCCAACCAAATGTATGGTACAAATTAACTGATGGCGACTAGGTAAGGTACCAAATAAAATGGTATACTGATAAAATTTTATCTTAAAAAAAGTAACCTTTAATGTTATTTTTATTACTTCAAAAACATTACTGAATAACTGCAAGTCTATTATCTCAAGTAGAAAGTTTCATAAAGCAGTTTACTTCTCTATTCTAGAAAAAGGAATTAAGCTCCAAAATACCTTATGTAATCGCAAGCAGCATACCCACACAAGTTAAAACAAAGGAATCCACAAAGAAATTCCTTCTTGGCCAATTCTCCACTGCATTTTCTTCAGCTCCTCAGCTTTGGTGTCAGTTTATTTCCCTACTCTTCACATTTTTTTTTCTTTTAATTCCTGTTTTGGGCTTGAACTCAGGGTCTGGGTACTGTCCCTAAGCTTTTATACTCTAGGCTAACACCTGAGCCACAGCTCCACTTCTGGTTTTTTGGGGTGATTAATTGGAGATAAGAGTCTCATGGACTTTTCTGCCCAGGCTGGTTTTGAAGCACAGTCCTCAGATCTCAGTCTCCTGGATAGCTAGGATTATAGGCATGAGTATCCAGCTCTTCACACTTCTTTTAATTTGTAAATATAGAGAATGAGAGAGTGAGGGAAGGAGTGACATCACTGAAAAAGAAATGTACTCTTTACCTGACTTACAAAACTGTAACTAAATATAGGGCTAATATATTATATGTATTATATATATTATATAAAGCTAATATATATGCATATATAGTGAGTGCATATGTTGATAGATGATTTGTGTATGTGGGTTTTGGTGGTTTGGGTTTTTTTCCTTTTTTTGCATATTTCAAACATTGGTACTAAGTCACAATTTTCAGCTCCAAGTTTAGGGAGTGAATCTGCTTCCCATCACAATCAAGTGCCTTATTTTGGGGCTGGCAATGTAGCAGTGGCAGAGTGTTTGCCTAGTAAGTGTAAGGCCCTGGAATCAATATGCAGTACTGCAAAAAAAAAAAAAAAGAAAAGAAAACAAAGACTTTTACTTTTACTAAACAATGTAAACATGACACTTCTTTGACACTTACATGTTTTCATATGATATCTACCTTCTTGGCATGTGTGGTTAGTGGGTTCTGTATATAACAAAGCCATGTTGTATGGTTTGTAAGCCTGCCAATGACAATTTCATGGCAAGAACTCGCTTCCACCAAGAATGACCAGAACGCTTATAATAACATTTATCTTGGGATATTTGGCAGAAATTCAACATACATCCAACTTTTTCTGCTGGATCAATTTCATCACAAATTAAACTAACTAAAATTATCCAACAGTGGACAGAACTCTTTCAATAAAAATAAGGACAAAAAAAAGTCTGTAATAAAGATTGACTTTAATTCTATGATTTTCTTACTAATAAAATATTTCCATCTGAAAACTGAATCATTGTTTTCAATAAATAAGATATAGTTAGCAGTGTTTTATGGAATGTAATTAATGTAAGAATTCAGAGACAAAAATCATTCTCTATTTTTCAATACAAATCTAAGGGATAAACTTTCAGTTGTAACCAAGTTTAGTGGTTACTTTTTATTTCTTTTTTTGTTTTGTCGGTCGTTACTTGTTATTTCTTTTTTTTTTTTTTTGGTCAGTCGTGGGGCTTGAACTCTGGGCTTGGGTGCTTATCCCTGCGCTCTTCAGCTCAAGGCAAGCACTCTACCAATCGAGCCACAGTACCACTTCCAGTTTTCTAGTGGTTTATTGGAGATAAGGAATCTCACGGACTTTCCTGCCCTGGCTGGCTTTTGGTAGGATTACATGCGTGAGTTACTTGCACCCAGCTGGTTACTTGTTATTTCTATAAGGTAAACCCAGCATCTTCAAAATCCCCCTGAACATACTATGATTTGATTAGTCCTATTTCTGAACTGGTTGTCATTCTGTGCAATGTTCTGGAATGTTATCTCTCTTTCCCATATTCAGACATATCTCTTATTCCAAGTATAGGCTGAAGTGTACTCTATGAAATTCCCTTACTGTGTAACATAACCCTTACTACCTTTAACTCTCGTATGAAAATAACTAAAGCAAAACAACGTATAAAACTAGTCAACTAAGGTTAAAAATTCTTACTACCTTAATATTCTTGGGCAAATTACCTAACCTCCTTATGCTTTCTTTGTCTCTTCTGTAAACATAGCTTAATAGTAGTACCTATAATACAGCTCCAAAAGTGAGGTTTGGAAGTACTACACAAGGCAATACAACAATTAATAGAAGGTGGGAAGAAATGACAGATAAAATAACATAAACATAATGCAGATATTAGATTCATAACCCACAGATTTGCTGTATCCTATGGATGAGTTGCAAAAGCCTAGGAATGGGTTGCCATAGCTTTTTTGGACAATGTCTAGAAAACACAATTTGTGATAAACCAGAATATCTAGAAAAGAGAATAGTGATGAACACAGAGAGGATAAAAAAATGAATGTGTTGATTATATATCCACAATACAAGTCATTCTAATAGTAGCAGGATGAATGGCAAAGTATTTCAACAATAGTGACAACAAGCCTAGTGGTAGGAAGGCAACAGACATATCAAGACAAAGATGCTAATTCTTCTCCTCAAAATTATGAAAGTAAAGGAAATGAGAACAAAGCACATCAAGGGTCAAGAAGCATGTACAATCTTTTGTTTGTAGCTCAGAATCCAAAGAGCTATCCCAGTGATCAACCTCTAATGAAATAACTCAAGTTAAATGAAGTATGAGCAACTGTAATAAATGTGTAACATGGGGCTGGGAAGATGGCTCAGTGGTAGAGCGCTTGCCTTGCATGCCTGAGGCCCTGGGTTCAATTCCTCAGCACCACATAAGAAAAAAGAAAAAAGCCGGAAGTGACGCCGTGGCTCAAGTGGTAGAGCGCTAGCCTTGAGCTGAAGAGCTGAGGGACAGCGCCCAGGCCCAGAATTCAGGCCCCACAATCGGACCCAAAATAAATAAATAAATGTGTGACATTATGAGCACTCATTAAAGACGTCAAGACAAGTTGTTACCTTTTAAGTAGAGTATAATTTCAGACCCTTTACAGTTCTAGACATTGGTTTAGAACTGGACAAGTGTTAATGTAGAAATACTACAATTTTCTTAATAATTGACAATATGAAAAAAAGAAAAAGAAAGGAAATCTCAATTGATAGAAGCAATGGGGAAGATCTATAGCCAAAGACAACAGAAGAAGGGCAGACTTTTAATGAGGTAGACTAAAGACACACAGAGCAACATAAAGGAGTCTGTGACATGATCAATGCTAAGTCAACAGGGAAGAGATTAATGGGGATGAAATAACATGAAGAAGATACAAAAGTTAACTGTAGATAGTATGTATGAAATGTCAAAAAGCTTATTCGATTGCATAAGAGTAAATATGGAATAAACTTTTTCAATGAGTAGCAGATTATCTTCCAAAGCCCTATCATTTTTAGAAAAATTCATAGAGTAGAAAAATTAGATGAGAGTAATACAAATGGTCATAAAGAAAACACGTCTTGGGGCTGGGAAGGTGGCTCAGTGGTAGAGTGCTTGCCTTGCATGCATGAGGCCCTGGGTTCAATTCCTCAGCAC